AATGAAGTCTGAGAGAAGGGAAAGGGTTTCTTTGCCCAGTGTATTGCCTGGCAGGACAGCTAGCAGAGGGAAGAGACTTGAGAAGAGGAGGACAGAGTCTGGGTTTCCTTTGATGACAACATTTTGGCACACTGGCCAGTGTGTACTTCTCTCCAGCACATGCGAGGGTCTGTGATGCCGGCTTCAATATCTGGACGCATTCCAGTGTTTCCTAACATGATGCTGGACATGGCCCTATTATAGTCTAGCATCTTCTAGTAATTTCTTTGGGGATGTAGGGATTTGGACAAAGACTCAATGCACCTCAGGTAGCACTGGAGGAAGGAAATTTGGGGCCTTTAGAAAATGGTTATCCATTTCTTGGCTCTTAAAATCCTAAATGACTCTTAAAAATGTTTCATATACTAATTTGAGGGAGAAATTCAGCAATAGTGCAGTGGCTCCTAGTTCAGAGAGAAGGGACACAGCTGGCATATTACTCCATCAGTTCTATAGTAAATAAATGGAGGGATTGTCTAACTTGCCAGAGAATCAAGAACCGTGAGCTGTTTAACCCTTCATTTTACAGGCAATAGAAATTAATCTTGGAAAGGCTGGATGACTGTCCTAAAGTCACATTAGTACTGGCTAAGTGGGAATTATAACCTAGGGTTTTGCCTAGTGCGGCAAGTGGAAAAACTCAGAGAGGATCTCTTCTCCACCCCATGGAACAGTTCTGGTCAGGAACCGCCTCTTTTGTCTTTCCGGACTCATCCTGACCCCTCACCCTTTCAGATCCGGTAGACAAGGAGCGTGAGAAGCTCATCCTGGGAGGCCCACTGGTCGTGAAGAAGAAAAGCCAGAACCTTTCACGTCGACTAGCCTCTGGCTGTTGGGGAGGCGGGTACATTACCCAGTAGGCGCCTAACCTCGGACTGAGGGAAGCTAACACAGAACCTGGAAAGGAGCAGAGAGCGGGCTGAGAAAAGGTGTAGCTGCTGCGGAAAACTGAGAGAGGTGTCTCCGGGAAGCTGGGCGATCCAGCTCTCACACAGCGCCACAGGGACTCGGGGCAAACTTCTCTCTCCTCTTCGCAGTCGGCCCTTTGTGTCGGCCTCTGCCTCTGGCTTATGCCCTGCGGCCCCCCGCCTCTTGAAGTCACCCCAAGTGCACTCATAATATTATGCTTTGCGCCGGGTCTGTTTTCCCCCACCAACTTCCAGCAGTCTCCATGGCGACGCGCTGGGGAAGGGGGCGGGCGCGGTCACCGCGATTCCAGGCCCGAGGCACAGGGCTGCTCCTGTAAACTTTTCTGGCTCTCCTGCTTCTGCAGGCTCCGCGGGAAAGTGCGCTGTCCAGAGCCACCGCGTGCGGCCGAGTGCGGGGCTCTCGGGAGCCGGTCCCAGGCGCTGCGTCCGCACCCGCTAGGGTTGCAGCCGCAAGGCCCAGGGACCATGTGGCTCTCACTTGAACCTGCTGCCAAACCCAGATGCCTGGCAGGTGCTGGGGTGAGGGCGCGCATGAACCCCTCGCAGGCCACACACACAGGCCCGGGCAGAGCGAGGCAGCCTAGTTGCAGCGAGGCTCAAGTTCCCGGGCTCCTTGCTCCCCGAGCACTCTGACCCGTTGTAGGATGGAGGAGGTTAGGGCCCTGTTTCCTCCGGGGCGGCTCTGCCCCGTGGACACGATGCGAGGGCGATTGGTTATCCCCACCTCGGGGCCCACGGAGCCAGGCCGCGCCTTGTGCCGGGCTGGGACCCGCAGACCAGCGTGCCCTCCCGTCGACGCGGCCCTGGGGACTTCAATCCAGCTCCGAGGGCGCTGTGACCGGCCCTGCTCTGGGTTCTGAAGATCTGGACGGAAGGCGGGGAGAGGCAGAAGTTCCAGTTCAGGCTTGGCAGGGCCCTTCTCTAACGCACCATCCCGTTTGACAAGAAAAGACCCTTCTGTTGCGCAGAGGACCAACCCAGCCCGGGCCTATTCTCCCAATTTCTCTGTGGCCTAAAATTCCATCCACTCTTCCCTCTTGTTCTCGAATTTCCAGAGAAGAGAGTAACTGCGCAACGCTCTGCCCGCCGTGCCAAACGGGATCGGACCCGTACCGCCCCTGTCGCGTACCAGCCGCCCGCGCCCGCGTGGGGCGGCCAGGCCACACGGACTCGGCACCCACTGCCCGCCCGCCCGCATGGGCGGCTGGGGCTGCGGTGCGGCGGGTGCAGCGCGCGCGGCCAACTGCAAACCGCGCACCGACGGCCTCTGCACGCGCCCCGGTCTGTGCCTCCTCGGAGCTGCGCGGCGCCGCCAGAGTCGCCTCCGAGAGGGGCTCGGCTTTGTCAGGCTCCGAGGCAAGCGAGCCGAGGGCCCCGGAGGCGCGCGCCGGCTCCCCCGCCTCCCCCGACGGGACCATTGTCTGCGTCCCACACTTGTTGAGTATTTGGGGAAAACTCGAGGAATATATTACCGGCTCGGTGCGCGGAACAAAGGGGCGCGTTTCCGCAGGTCACGCTGAAGTGGCCCCAAGGCAGGCCACTAGAGCCAGCCCCTGCAAAACTGTTCTCCCGGGCCCGAGGCACTTCGCAGGGATTTTCCTTTTAAGACCGAGGCTCCGCTTGCGGCCTCTCTGATCCTGGACGCTCCCGACTTCGCCTCAGTACTTGCTGCGAATTGGATGCTTAAGCCCTTTCGGGATGAAACAATAATAACACTAATGTTCGCGGTTCTGATCGAGTGCTATCTGCTGTAAAAAGAGCGGAATCGGACTGCTCGGTAGAGCGCTCAAGTCGGCCAGCCGGGGAGAGGGGACTTTTACATGACAAGAGAGACTCGGGGAACCTAATTGGATTAAATTCTTTAGATAGGAGGTGAGATAAGGTTGCTGGGCCAGACCACACCGAACCGCACTTCCTGGCCGTGGGTTTTGCAAACTCGAGTGAGATGCACCTGGTGCGCCTGGTGTCTTTTCCACGCTGCCCTTTCCCTAAAACTTTTGAATTTGAGTTCCGGATGGCGACTAGCGATGTCTCAGATATGCGGAAGGGGGGAGGGGAGATAGGGAAAGCATTTTTTGGATGTTTCAGGGAGTTTGTAGTTTGTAAATTGAGGTGACCAGGTGCAACACGGAGGGCAGAAAAATAACGTTTCCATAGCCCCCCCCCCCAGCCCAGAGGTTGAGAACCTCCCCTAGCTTGCCCCAGAACGCATCCAGGGGCCCAGTATTGCAAGTGGGAGGGAAGGTGCCAAAAACCTCCCAGCTGACCAGGGCAGGTTTGCGGGGAGCCCCCAAGTCCCAGCGTGGGCCCCTCGCAGAGACTGGCCGCAAACTCTGCAGACCTGAGTTTTAATTTTGTTCTAGGATATGGGACGCTAAAGTTGGGGTGCCCAGAAGCGCAAGCGCTTGTGATAAAAATGGCCGAGGGACTTTTTTCCCTCTGCGCTTGCTTTGCGGAGGGTGGAAAAGACTCTGAGCAGGGCCAGCCGGGGGCTGGCAGCCCGGAGCGCAGCGACTGGGACTTCTCTCTTCCCTTCGTTTGTCATCGCATCTGGGAAGGACGATTGTGGGGCTCAGCCTTTCCCTCCTGCCTCGGGATCCACGCCCACCCGGAGGAGCGCAATTCGAAAGGGATTTGGCTTTTGGGATCAGAGATAGACAACCACCCGGGAAAACTGAAACGCCCCCGCGTATACACAGAGGGGGTGGAAGCCTGGAGGGGCCGGAAATCTTTCAGCAGTGACCAAGGAAAGACTATGTGGGGCAATGCCCGGATGTCCTTACCCCCATTCCATCCCCGTTTTCAGCCTTCCTGGGGATGGAGATGGGGAGACATTCGCGTGGTGTGTAGTTGCTCAGGGCAGGGACGCGTGTCTGTTCCGAGATGGCAGAGGCTGGAGGCACTTGTTGCTTCGCGCTGCAAAACGCCCCAGCGGATTCTCCCGGCATCTCCGCAAGCGTCGTGTCCAGCTGCTGCCTCGGCCTAGACTGCGCGGGTCGCCGCATTTCTGCCTCTTCCCGGCCTCATCTCCCCAAGAAACCCCGAGGCTGCCGCTGAGCTCCGCTGGGAGCCGACGGGCTGCGAGACCACAGCTAGGGGAGGGTGTGAACTTCAAGAGAACTTGTTCCACCTGCAAGGGATGTAGGTGAATTCGGGTCTGAAAGTTCCGCGGCTCTTCAAAGGTGCTAGGAGTGGGACGTGGGGAGCGCCGGAGGCTCTAAGGGAGAAAGAACCGAGACGCCGGGCTTTTTCCTCATAAAGGATTCCTTGGCGTCCTTCCTCTGTTGCTACTGGCCTCTGCCGCCGCAAACACGACGCCCGCAACCAACAGCCCCCAAACTGCAGAGCAGACGCAGACGTCGACGCCTGGCTTCGCCGGCCGCGCAGGGTCCTGCCTTCTTGCGCCAGCTGGAGCGGAACGCAGCGCGTCGTCGGGTGCCCCTTCCCGGCAGGGAGGCTGCACCTCGCCTGGGACAACCGGGTGCGGCGCAGATTGCCCTGGACCACCGGGTTGGCCGCCGCCACTCCCTCCAGCTGCCGGAGCCGCGGTCCCCACCTCCTTCCCAGGCTCTGCGCGAAGCCGTCACCCTCCCCCGCCTCGAGGGCGTTCCGCTCGGCTTCGCCTTCCTCGCCTCCAGGCCCCCGAGCGCACCGCTATCCCGAGGGCCCCAAACCCGGGGGAGGAGCCGGGACCCAGAGGGGGCGGTCGGTTCGCAAAGTTTATACAAGTGGCACCTGCGCTCGCTGCGAGCCAGCGCATCTTTACGTGACTTAGTGTCGGGGCAAGCGAAAGCGCGCTCCTTTCTCAGCGCGCGCACACACAGTTACACGCGCACGCACACACACTTGCACACATTCACTTCCACATCCACACACCTCGTGTCGCGCAGGAGTGGAAACTGCTGCGCGCTGTCGGTAATTTCCCGGGGTTCCACTGTCAAGTTGAACTGTGTGAACTTTGCGCAACTTTGTAAAGTTCCCCTTCTCCCTCCTCCTGCCCTCCCATGGCCCTCCTCCCTCCGCGGAACTAACCTGTGGAATCCATGTCGGGTTCCTCCAGTAACCCACAATGCATGCTCTTCCCATGGACAGCACAGGCGCCCCCCAAAAGTCCTGATGTTTGGGGATCCCCTGTGCTAGAGATGCCCAGGTAGGAAGGGACAGAGGGAGGGAGAAGGAGAGGGGACGCAGAGGGCGAGGGCCAAAGGATAAAGGAAGACAGGAGATGAAAGAAAGAGAAAGCGGAGGAAGAAAAAGAGGAGCGAAGGGGGAGCGCGGGGAAGAGGGAGCGAGGAGGAGCGTGCGAGCGGGCGAGGGGACCCTCGGTAGTCCAGCCGGGCCGAGCCAAACCCGTCAAAATGTTTGCGGATGTTTCATGGGAAAAAGCATCATTTTATAGGAGCCCCGATGGGAGCAATGTCATTGATAGGCCAGCCGGCCTGATGAATGGCCGCTCGTCAGATGGGGCCGTGGCGAGGCGCACTGTGAAGCCCATTGTGGGCCTGTTTTGAATAAGAAAAGCCGCCTCAGAAAAGGGGGGCGCCGAGCGACGCAATCCCAGCCCTCCGACTTCCCCCTTCTATTATAGCATTAGCAACGTTTTTCTTATTTAAAGTTCCAGAGGCCTTCTCCAGCCTTCGCCCGGCACTCATTATAGGCGGAATCAAAATTGGCTTAGTCGTGGCCCCCTCCCCCAGCAGCCCCCTCCCCTGGCCGGGGCCGCGAGGCGCGGGCCCGGGGGTCGGCGGCGGAGGACACCGCGAAGCTCGCGGGGTCGCCGACGCGGCCACGAGTGGGGGCCCCCCCTGCCCCTGCTCGGTCCTGGGTTCGATTTTGGGTGGGGGCCCTGGGGAACGCTCCCACGCGGATCCGCGGACACGCGTGGGGTGGAGGGCGCTGTCCTGCGAGTTGGGGGGAAAGGAGTGGGGAGCCCTGAGAAGTCAGGCTTGCACCCGGGCGGCAGACGGCGCTGGGCAGGAGGGTGAGGGGCCTGCGGGCCTCCTCCAGGACTTCCCCTGGGTCCGCTCTCGCTCTCGGCCGGCTCCCGGGTCTCGGTCTCTAGCTGCTCACGGTTCCTGGGTCTCTGGGTCCCTCTACTTTTCTGTCTTTGGCAGCTTGTCTCTGTCCAGCCCCTGGCCCCACGTCTCTTTGTCTCTCCCTAGGACTCTGTCCCCCTCGGTCTCTATCCTGCAGCCTCTTCCCTTAACTCTGTCTGTCAGTCTGTCTGTCTGTGTCCCAGGCCCTCCCACCGTCTCCCACCCCCTTCCAGCCAGCCGCGAAGTTGGTGAGAAGCCCCGGCACCCCAGAGGGGACACGGTTTTCCCAGGGACCCCCTCCCTGGCGGAGTTTAAAGTGCAGAAAGAGGGGGGCGAGGGGCTGAGGGGCTGGAAGTGGAAGTGGGGGGTGGGCAGGCTGCGTCTCCGCGGGCTCCGATAAAGTGGCCGTTCGCGGGCCGGCAGCGCTGTGATTAGAATATGAATGGGGCTCGGCGGGCGGAAGAGAAAGGCGGATTACCCGGGTGCTTTGACCATGGACAGAGGCAGCGCCGGCGGGCCGCGCGGGGGGCGGGGCGGGCGGGTCCCTAACGCTGGGCGGGGGTGGGGAGGTCTCTAATCTGGGACCCGGCTGGGCGGGGCTCCCCGCGGCCCCAGGAAAGGCCCCCATTCCGCTCCACCCGCCAGCAGGGCTAAGAGGGACAATTGGGGGGGTGGCCGAGGGACCAGCACGTGCCGAGTTAAGGTCACGGTACGGGAGAAAGGAGGGGGCGCGGCCTGGGACTGGACAGGGCCCTAGTTTGGCGGGTTCGAATCCCCGCTCTGTAATTCTTTAACCTTTCTGGGCCTCTGCTTCCTCATCTGTAAAATGGGGCTAAAATGCCCTTTCTCAGGGTTTGAGTGAATATAAAAGGAGCCGCACTCTTCTTCCTTCTTCCTGGAACTCTCTATCCTGTCCGCCTCCTCCCCAAATCCTCCCTCCCTCGTGGCCAGTGTCTTCTCGACACCCAGTTCTCGGCTAAGTGTTGCTTCCTGGCAGACGCTGTCCACGACCGCTCTGTGTGGGGACCCACTTTCTCCAGCCACTCCTCAGTGCAGTATTCCATCCGTTTTTGCAGGGATTTTGCTTTGTCACAGGCGTACCCCCAGTGCCCAGCAACAGTGCCCGACACATCCTGGGGGGGTGGACCTCACTGCCATTGAGTCGATTCCAACTCATAGCGACCCTCTCACTGAGTTTCCAAGGCAGTAAATCTTTACGGAAGTAGATTGCCCCATCTTCCTTCTGCAAAGTAGCTGGTGGGTTTGAACTGGTAACCTTCTGGTTAGCAGCCAAATACTTCAGGCACTGCGCCACCAGAGCTCCTCCTTGTTGTTAGTTGCCATGAACTCAGTCCGACTCATGTACAACAGAACGAAACGCTGTCCAGTCCTGTGCCAGCCTCACAGTACTTGCTATACCTGAGCCCACTGTTGCAGCCAGTGTGTCAAGTCATCTTATTGAAGGGCTTCCCCTTTTTCGTTGACCTTCACTTTACCAAGTATGATATCCTTCTCCAGGGAATGGTCCCTTCTGACATAACCAAAGTAGGTCAAGCGAAGTCTGGCCATTCTCGCTTCAAATGAGTATTCCAGCTGCACTTCGTCCAGGACAGATTTGTTAATTCTTCTGACAGGCTGTGGTACTTTCAGTATCCTTCACCAACAGCACAACTCAAAAGCAATAACTCCTCTTGAGTCTTCCCTATTCATCGTCCAGCTCTCACATACATATGAGGCGAATGAAAACACTATGGCTTGGGTTAGGCGCACCTTAGTCTTCAAGGAGACATCTTTGCTCTTCAGCACTTGAAAGAGGTCTTTTGCAGCAGATTTGCCCAGTGCAATATGTCGTCTGATTTCTTGGCTGCTGCTTCCATGGGTGTTGATTGTGGAACCAAGCAGTGTGAAATCTTTGACAGCTTCAATCTTTCTCCATTTATTGTAATGCTTTATTGTAATGCTTTATTGTAATTTATTGTAATGATTTATTATCGGCCCAGTTGTGAGGATTTTCATTTACTTTATATGACATGTAATTCATAGCGCAGACTGTAGTCTTCAATCTTCATCAGTAAGTGCTTCAAGTCATCCTCACTTTCAGCAAGCAAAGTTGTGTCATCTGCATATCGCAGGTTGTTAATGAGTCTTCCCACAATCCTGATGCCATATTCTTCTTCATATAGTTCAGCTTCTCAGATTATTGCTCAGCACATAGATTGAATAAGCATGGTGAAAGGACACAGCCCTGACACACTCCCTTCCTGATTTAAAACCATGCAGTATTATTCCCTTGTTCTGTTTGAACAGCAGCCTTCTGGTCTATGAACAGGTTCCTCATGAGTACAATGAAGTGTTCCGCTGAAGCCTGTCAACCATGGGTAAACCTGCTGGTATTTGAAATACTGGTGGCATATCCCCCAGCCTCACAGCAAGACACAAGCCACCACAGTACAACAAACTAAGGGCAGAGCTCCTAAGGCACATCCCTCCCCCCCAAAAAAAAGTCTCATCCTCACTGCCGGTGAGTGATTCTGACTCATAGTGACCCCCGTTGGGTTTTCTAGTTGGTAAATCTTTATGAAAGTAGATTGCGCCATCTTCCTTCCACAGAGTGACTGGTGGGTTTGAACTGCCAACCTTCTAGTTAGCAGCCAGATGCCTTAGGCATTGCACCACCTGAGCTCCTTTTTTTTTTTTCTCCAGGCCCAAGAAATCCTTTTTTCCAGCTGTGATGGTTGGGGCGAGGGGATGGAGTAGAGGAGCACTTTGGCAACCAAAGACACCATGGTGGACCCTGTGTCCTCGTGGTGTGCATGGAGGCAAAGACCACTGGATGCAGAGCCAGAAGACCTGAGGGGCTGCTCCCACCTCTTGCGGCCTCAACTTCTCCCTCTGGAAAATGGGGAGAATGATTTAAAACAAAACAAAACAAAAAGCCTCCTTTAGTGGGGGTTAGGGGCAGTAAAAGACCCAACAATATGGTTCCCTGGGTGGCACGAATGGTTAAGGGCTCGACTAGTAGCCTAAGGGTTAGTGGTTGGAACCTACCCAGTGTGAACCTTGGAAGACAAGCCCAGCGATCTGCTTCTGAAAGTCACAGTCCTGCAAACCCATGGGGGACAGTTCTACTCTGCAGCCATGGGGTCCCCATGAGTCACAATGGACTGGACTGCATTTAACAACAATAGTGGGTAGAAGACCAGTCAGGGCGCTTGGCCAGGTGGATTCCCACAGCAGAGGAGAGCACAAGCAGGGCCCAGAGCTGCAGTGACTGGGGAGAGCCCCTGAGGAAGGCCCAGGCCGGGGTTGGTCTGCAGAGGGTGGTGGGCGGGCGGGTGAAGTTATCTTCACAGTTATGGAGATAATGTTATTGATTATCTTCATAATTACTATGTTAATTATTATTAATTGAAAGCAGAAATGGGCTGAGAAGTGGCTTAAAGAATCTGGAGGTAGAGGAGGCAGCTGGGCTGGCCTTTGCCCAGGGGGCGTGCACTGAGCACAGCTCAGGACTGTCACTGCTGATACAGGGTACCCATTCTGTGCCTGTCTCTGCTCAGCCCTGAAGGACATGGGTTTTCAGGCCTGACTGAGCTTAAAGAGAGGATGATAATAATTCATTCATTCTGTGGGAAATTTTTATTGAGCACCTACTATGTGTCCAGTACTATTCTAGAAGCTAGGGAAATAGACTGGAGAAAAAAAAAAAAAAAGAATCCACCCTCGTGGAGCTTACACAAGTGAAGGAGGATAAGTAATATGTGTTAAGGAGTTCTGGTGGCACAGTACCTAAGGCATCTGACTGCTAACCAAAAGGTTACCTGTTCAATCCCACCAGCTACTCCATGGAAGGAAGATGGGGCAATCTACTTCTATTAACATTTACTGCCTTGGAAACCCAATGAGGTTTGCTAAAAGTTGGAACGGACTCGATGGCAGTGGGTTTGGATTTTTCTTTTTATAACATATAATTAGATTATGTAGTTTGTCTGATGGTAGGTGCTTTGCAGGGAGGGTATTAGTCAGGGAGGTCCCTCTGGAGAAGGTGATATTTGCACTTACAAACAGTGCTACCGAGGGTTTGTTGATAAGTCAGTGTTCATTTGAAAAAATTGATTAAGCTGTGAACACTTAGAATTTTGTACACTTTTCTGTAGGTATTTCATACCTTAATAAAAAGTTTGCTTAAATTTAACACTGATGACATTATAATAGTAATAGCTATCATTTTGAGCACTTCAGTGACTACGCATTGACTCTGGTAGCATAGTG